ATGTCAGACATTTGCTCTACCACTTAGCTATATCCACAGTCAATTCTTTTCACTTTATTATTTTTATTTATTTTACTTTTTCACATAGGCTTTTACTCATCTGCTGAGACTAGCCTTCAGTTAATCTATAATCCAGTCTGGTCTTGGAATTTCAATCCTCCTGCCTCAGCCTCCCAAGCAGTTGGATTAATGGCATGTACCACCAGGTCCAGTTCTATATAATCTTTCTGTGGAGAGACCACACAGAGCCAGATGAGAGTCAGGATAGGGTCCTAACTTTGTCTGGCATGGTTCTGCTTATCCAGGTGTGTATAACCTTGGGTTGTCTCTCCACTTGGGAGCCAATGTAGTGTAAGTCTGTGAGAAAGCAGTTAAGTCGAGGCATCTTGTGGTCTACATGTAGATAGTGAGGAGAGGAGCATGCTCATCCTGCTCTCTCACTGGGATTTTATATTTATTTTCCAATTTGAAAAATGTCCCATTCTTACTTACAAACATGAAGACTGATCTAGCATAGAGGGTAATGTTTGTGACTCCAACTCAAAATTCATTTAGGGATTTTCAGTTGTTTGGAAATGTAGCAGATAATCACATGCTAATTACTTGGATTTGTTGAAAAAATTTACCTTGCAGAAAGATTGTTCTAGGCACTGACAATACAAAGAAAAAGAATGCAGTTCCTTAACTCATGTACCTAATAATTTAGTAAAAATAAAATAATGTAAATGAATCATTTAATAAATTAGAAATGGATAAGTGTGTTTATGAATTAGAGGCTTAGGAATAGTTTCTCAATGAGAACAGAATTCAAGCTGAAGACTGAAGGAGTAGGAATCGGTAAGACATAGTGATAACTAATGGACATTACAGTCTAGGTATAACTATTTTATTTATGGAAATCTGTGTAGATGCCACCATGTAGTCCATAAGAAGGCATCTTACCAGGGGTATGTTAGAGCAGCTTTTCTGCTAAACAGAACTAAAAAATCTTTCTCTTGTTCTACTCCATTCTTTTCTGTTCATAATTCCTTTTCGTCTCTTTGTATTACGTTGTCAATTGACACTGGGTCTACATATCCTTTCAAAGAAAACTTCTGCCCTTTCTATGAGCTCAACTCTTAGAGGCCATCTAACCTAAATTTAAATTTTCTGAGGTCACTTTAATACTCAGGGACAAAGCACTAACTGAGTCATCTTATACCTGCCATGTTCCAGCTAAAGTGTGCTCCATTTAGAAAAGATTAACTGAAGAAATAGAGCATCTTCTGAAATGAGGCAGGAACCTTTTAGAAACATTTCAAGGAACAACATTTTTGACTGGTCGTCTTTAGAGCTAACTACAGCTTATTTGAAAAGCACAAGTATAAATACTGCTTCTAAATAAGTACCATAAAGTCAATTGCCTAGCTAAAGGCAATCGACCTGAATCTCCTCTTGAAACACTGTATTCCCTGAAGTGAAAGATTTGTAGGTTTATAGAGAATATCAGAATACAGTCTTAAAAAATGCTTTGAAAAGAAACTAATTCACCAGAGGGTGTGACTAGATTCCCCTAAGTATATTTGCTAATATATAAGGATTTTGATGTTTGCTTTCACTGATGACTGAATTAAGAAATCAATTTGGTTGCTATGTAAAGGGACCACCACAGAGTGGTTTGTTGTCCTTAATTAGTGTATTGGGAAAATAATTATCTGGGTCTTCATCAATGGTGATATAGCTTAACTTAACAAGTCATTAAGAATCTCCCATTCCAAGCAATTTTCACTGACACTACCTGTTATATGAGCTAACACAGCAGGGGTGATTCCTTTGCTGCCTTCGGGAAGAATTCCTTTTAATATTGGGAAGAAGAGAAAGTTGTAGAGGAAATATCCTTTGAAGCAATTTGGGCAATAAAACAACTCAGACTTAAATGGGGAAGGTTAAGGTTTGAATCTGTAGCCCTGTCTTCCAGGGCTTCATATTTTTAAAGTTTATTCCTCAACCGGTGTGTTTTAGGAGGTTGCGGACCTTGTAGATGTGGGGCCTAGCCAGCAGAAGCAGGCCCATAGGGACAGACCTTTATCTAGCCTCTGATCTGATTTAAGGTTCTCTTCTTTCAGGTCCACCATGAAGTAAAGTCTCTGATAATGCTCCCACAGCCATGAAAGCATTTCTCACCAGGATGGACCAAGATCTTCTGAAACCATGAGTCAAAATAAATCTTTCCTCCCATGAGTTGTTTCTGTCAGGCATTTTTGTCACAGCAATGCAAAAGTCACTAATAATACAGGGACATTACAATATTGACACAACTGATGGAGCCACAGAAGGGAAGATGCAAATATCATCGCTCTCCAAAATTCTTTCTCAGTAGCTAATTTTGTAACTGCAAAATCTAGGCTCTGGTTTGTGCCTGGATGTTATATCTAGATGGTAGGAACTTTAAAATTCAGTGGTGAATTTGCGTTCACTGATTCCACGTAGGTTCAGCTTTTGGCTCAAACTTCAAGCAGTCTATAGTAGTTAAAGACTGAAGGCAGTACTATCAGTTACATGTCACCAGTTACCAAACGCCAGGATGTATAACCACAGTCAGTCATGAATGCGGGAGTTGGTAGACATGAGAGATACCCAGAAAGCTTCTCTCTTGAAGTGTTTTCTTATTAATGTACAGAAGTGCTGTAAATTCACCCTTAGGAAATAATGCTTTGGATTTGACTATATTTTCTAAACTTCTTATTAAATGACATATATGTTTCAAAAAGATAAAACATTTTAATTCTTAGATGTAAATGGGCCTGCTATCTTCGTTTGTGATGTTTGATTGAAGAAAGGTCCTCTGTGGAAATGGTACTTGGAAGGCTGCTCAGTGTATGGTGCAGTTGCTCCAATTCCCAGCTTCACTCTTGGTTGGACCAATGTATAGTCTAGCCAGGAAATCGGAGAGTCTTAGAGGAGAGTATGGAGCCCCTTGCTTTGTCCTTTCCTCTCTAGTTCACCCCCTTGCTTTCACAAGGTCTTTGTTCCCTTGCACAGGAGCATCTGTTGCAACCACACGAATATCTGTTGCAACTTTCTGATCAGTGTCTACAGATTCAGTATCTCATTCACTTTGTTTTCTATGTAGACTATTAGTTGTTTTTCTGTGCAACTTTCATTCTATCAGCCATCCTCATTTCTTACCCTGTGAGCCCCATGAACACATTCTAAATGACTCACTGTTACTTCCCAGTGGTACCGAACCTACAGCCAGACTTTAACTGCATGGAAGTCAAGAATATTTTCTACATGACTTAGAAGTCTCTCTAAACCCTAAGTATTTATAAGAAATGATTATGGACACATGTATTATAAAATATTGTTTATTGTACTGGGAGATAATAATGTCCAAAACAGCATGTATACAATCTCTTATTGATGGTAAAATTGGATATAAGTATTTATGAAATAGTTGACACTCAACTGGTAAAAATATTATTGGAGTTTGTCTGAGATAGATTTAAATTTTCCTGTTTTCAAACAGAAATTTCTGTCTCTCCTTCTTCAAGTGTAGAAGTTAATGATCTACTATGAGATGTGCAATATTTTCTATCCATCTAATAAAGTTAAAGGATGTTTATGAAAAAACAGTTATCCTAATTACTTGTAATATGACTATGTGCTCTGAAGAAGGAAAGAAATTGGAAATAGCTCATTTAGAACAGCACAGAATTTACATGGAATTTTAAATGCCACAAATCTGGAATATAAAAATAAGGTTATTCCAATGCAAATAAAGCCTATTTAAATAGGATCATGATATATAAAGAACACTTTATATGAATCTCTTGAGTGCTTGGGCTTTGATTGTAGTAATTCAGTAGGAGGCAGGGTACCTGCCGCTTAGAATCATGAACTTTTATTACTGTGTCATTAATACTCTCATCAAGTAACAGAAATCATATGGGGTGAGTGAAAGAGTGTAAAAGTGTGAAAGATCCATCTCAGGCCCCGCTCTTATTCTGCTTACTGATGGGAGTTTTCATGAAGCCAGTGTTGTCTGGATTTGGGAAAATGAGAAAATTGAGCTGAATGATTTCTTGGGTCTTTCTATCTCTAAAATTCTGTTACTCTCTAAGTAAGCACTGTGAGAGTTTGAATTTTGAATGAGCTATGTCTTTTTTCTCTAATGAATTTGTAAGAGCCAATTATCAGCTTTTCATCTAATGTAAATTGTATGTTGTCTTCCCTACCCCAGTCAGTCTATTTGTCTGTCTGTCTGTCTGTCTACCTTTCTCTTCCTTGTTTGCTGGTAATCAACTATCTGGCTTATCTGGTTACACTTTTAGGTTTATGCTCTGAGAAATTCTTTGTTTTTTTTTTTAATATCTGAACAAAAAGAGTAACAATTAGTGTGGAAAAAAAATCAAATTCAGAGATATGGTGAGATAACTTCTTGTTACTGATAGTGGCTCCAAATCACAACTTCATCTCTTTAGGACACTTTGTTATGTAACTTTGCAGCACTTGTGCTGTGAACAGAATGTTCTTTCTCAGTCCTTGACTCTGATCTGTGCCCTGTGAATTGCGTCTGCTGATGAGATAGTAGAAGATACACTACAGCAAAGAAAGAAAGAGGCTTGAACAGTTGTCCTTGCATCCTATTGCACCTTTGACATCACTCTGAAATCATGCTGGAGCTAACTCATTGATTACAGGAAGAGGAAAGGCTTGGGCAGAGTCACTCATAGGTTAGCCCAGCCTCTACTCTCTAGTTGACCTTCAGAATATAATTATGTTAAAGCTCTGAATTTCATTTGTTATGTTGCAGCAGCTACCTGATATCCTTCGAAATAATTTTCACTGGTCATTGACAGCTCTGTCATAAACCTGTATTATGGAATACCCATTAAAAACAAAAACTTAAATTGTTAATAGCATTCATGATGACATTTTTAGAGTCATCTCATTCTGTTCTCCTGAAACATAAAAGCAAAGAGATACAACCTTTTAGTGGTCATGTTTGCCAGTCTTACCTGTATGGAAACACTGCTGTATGAGCCACCAATGACCCCTGCGATGAGCAGTGGGATGTTTTCTTGAATAGCATATGATCCATCAGGACACATATATTCAGCTTCATCCACTTTAGTTAGAGATGCCCTGACAAACTCCAGTGATTGCTCTAATGCATAGGTATCCCTTGAACATGTATCCAAAATATGAACTCCCAACTTCACTCCTGGTAGCAAGTAGTTGTCTTTGTTGATTTCATCAATTGCAAACAACATGGCCTCCAGGCGTTGAATACCTCGATCTTCATTGATTCGCCCACATTCTTCAGTTCCAGTACCTTTTTCATTAATAGGAAATAAGCCCCCTAAAACAAGATCACCTTCTATTTTAATCTCCTTCCTTAGAAAGTTATGATCCCCTAAGGAGAGTAAAAATCCCTTTGAAAACAAAGCTAATGTAAGAACTTGGAGTCTTGTCAACATCTTCATGAATCCTGTTTCTGTGCCTCTTGGAGATATCATTGGGTAGAGTCAATGTTGCCTGCTAGTCTTCTGCTCTCATTTCCAAAGGGGATCTTTGGCCTGTCCTTCAAATAAGGGAGGATCAGACTAACAGAGCCTGTCACCAAATTCCTAAAGAGATTAAAAAAAGTATATAAACAAAAAGGATAATGAAAGCAACAATAGATATACAGATACTTCCCAATCAGACCTTTGATGGGTTCCTGAATTGAATAAGACAACTCTAGTACTTATTTTACTTGGCTGTCAATGAAATCTTGACTATTATCTACCTGTTAGGACTTCCTTAGTTTCAGTATAATTTCATTTTTGGCTATATCTCAAATTCTATTGTTGAACATCTGCCCTCCCCCTGTCTTCCAATCCCCATTCCTGGGATAACTCACCTGTGTTCATGGTTTCAGTCTCCAATGCTATTTGCTAAATAGTTTGGCCACATATTACTCAAATACCCTTAAAGTATTACTTGTAATAAACTCTCGCTTACATCTATATCTAAACTTTCAAGCCAGAAATCTCCCATTCAGAGTCCTGCCTACTTCATCCCCTTCTACCCTCCTACAATTAGCGACTAAGAACTGAGAAATGTCCTTGTTCAACCCTTTTGAAGCCACTGCCTTTTCTCTGTCTTTATGATGCTGGGCACCTATAATCTGAAGCACATCCATGGTGATGGGTTCTGTAGAACTTCAACCAACCCTGAGAACATCTTTTTTGTGTGTGTATGAATTAGGAAAAAATATCCCTTCTTTAAGTACAAAAATTTTAATGTATTATTGTATTACCTGTTGATGATGGGAGATGTGATTGCTGGTGGCTGATTATTGCTAGACAAATCCTGATGTGACCATCACATTTCAAAGTGCAACAAGTGCTAATTCTGGGTTTAATACAGTAAATTATAGCTTGAGACAGTACCAGTGTTCTCTCAGATAAATTAGTAAATGTTAACAGTCTGCCTGGTGATTCAGTGGAAGATCTGTTCTAATGCACAGACTTAGTTACTATTTAGTGGCCCATTTCCAGCCAGTTTGCAAACTTTCACTTGCCTATAGATTTAAAAAATGACTTCTAAAAATTTATTTAAAAAATTGTTTTAAAAATATTTTTATTGAATTTTTGTGGATTTCATACAATACATCTTAATCATATTTGCCCCCCCTTCTCTGTCTATACTCCCCTATAACCCACCCACAGGATTTCATGCATTTTTGTCATATATGTTAAGGCCTATCAAGTCAAATTTGTGTACCTAGATGTCCCTAGGTATGAGTTCATCCACTAGAACCTGTTCATCCTGTCTAAAGAAGATCAACTTTCCTTCACTCAGCTATGATTAGTCGCTTATAGTTCCTCATCAAAGTGTGAGATCCTGCCAATTTTCCCAGTTGGCTCACATTGTGAAACGAGGGGTAGAGAGAATACTAATGCATCTCTCAACTCTCATCAGTAAAACTTCCTCATGCAACAGAGGGCAATGGACACAAAAGACCACAACTGGCCAAAGTCTAGAGAAAAAGACTTCAGAGTGTGGGCCCCTGGACAGGACTCCTATATTAAACTTCACCCACCCAGGGCTCAGTGACCAATTGTGGAAGAGGGGTGGAAAGATTGTAAGAAGAAGGAGATTATATGGCTGTTTATTTATTTTAATTAAAATTTCTTTTGATAATTTCATGCTTAATTACTATATTTTTATCACTTCCACCCTCCCTTTTTCTCCTCCAACTCTTCCCATATCCCCTGATACCCTCTCAATTTCATGACCTTTTTTAAAATTATTATTGTTACCTATATTATTGTTATACATACATATTTACATAGCAACCTACTGAGCCCATTTAGTGTTCCTTGTATGTACTTATGTTTAGGGATGATCTCTTGGGATTGCATAACCTATCAGGGAGCTTTTCTCTGGAGAAACCTGATTCTCCCTCTCTCAGTAGCCATTGACTGCCTGTATCTCTTCATCTAGTGGTGGGTCCTTGTGAAATGTCCTCCATCCATACCACACTGGAACATCAACTGGTGGTGTCATTATAGAAGTCTTGTTTAGGAGACCATGTTGTTGAATGTCCCTGTTATACCTGAAAGGCACTATCTAACAGCAGGCATCCTGGCCCTCTGGCTCTTATATTCTTTCTGCCCCCCTCTTCCATGATGTATCATGTACCAGCAGGATATGTGTGGGGAAACTGACTTCTTTATGTAAGCACTTCTCAGTGCTCCACGATCTTGTCCCTGGCTAGCTCTTTGGTCTTATAGCTTACCATGCCTGTCAGCTTCTTTCCACTCTTATCTTTAAACCTTCTGCTCCAGATACATTGAACTATGTGAGTTTCAGGAGATGTCCAAATACAGATGACCTCTTGTTTCTGTTCATACTGTTTCCTTTGCTATGGATGCTCTTTTATTCTCATTCTCTTTCTCTTTCACTCTCCCTCCCTCCCCTCAGTAAACACCTACTTATGGTTTAAGACTCAATAGACGTTGCCAGGAAAGTCTAAGTGTTTTTCTTGTCTTCTTGAGTCAAATCCTCAAAGTTCTGCTTTATATTCCTGCTGCAACCTGTTCAAAAAATATTTGCTATTGTTATTACAATTCATATTTGTTTTATTATGTGTCCATTGGAAATAAATGAAACAATTTTGCCTCAAAAAATTTTAAAGTACCAAGAAAAAAATTCAATGAAAAAGTCAAGCTAGGAGTTAGCCCAATGTTTACTTCAACACTTCTGACATTTCTCCCTTCTCATGATAGCAATGCCCTTTAAAACCCAGTTTCTTGTTACTTTCACCTCATGGAGCAAATGAATTATTGTCTTGAAACAAGCAGTTAGCTGAGTGTTGTTTGGTTTGTTTATTTAGGTGTGAATCTCAGTGAAGACGCAGCAGTCACTGGAATGTTAACTCAGAGCTACTCAGGGAAATCTGCCACATGGGACCATAAAGTCTACAACAATAATTTTTTTTTAAAGTTGATATTGTAGGAGCTTTTTTTTGTTGTCTTATAATACTTTCTGGTCCCTTTGATCTTTGTGTGAAATTCTCTTTGAAGTGTAACTGCCATTGCTAAAAGGCAAAAGACACTGTTCATTATTACTAATAATAAAGATGAAGGAATTGCTTTATAAAACCACTGCTTTATTTGCTTAATAAGAGAGCATAGTTGATTCAAAGAAGCTTTACCATGTATCTTTAAAAACATAGGCATTGCCGGGTGTAGTGGCTCATGCCTTTAATCCTAGCACTTGGGAGGCAGAGGCAGGCAGATCTCGAGGCCAGCCTGGTCTGTATAGTGAGTTCCAGGACAGCTGGGGCTACAGGGAGACCGTGTCTCAAAAAGACACACACACAAAAAAAATAAAAAAATATATATAGACATCTTGCTGGGTGAGGTGATACACACCTTTAAGCTCAACACTTGAAAGGCAGAGGCAGAGGCAGGCAGATCTCTGTGAGTTCAAGGTCAGCCTGGTCTACTCTAGAGAGTTCCAGGCCAGCTGGAGCTATAGGGAGACCTGTCTCAAAACTTGTGTGTGTGTGTGTGTGTGTGTATAAATCTCATGAATGTGAAGAAATTTTGGTAATGCATAGTCAAAGAAGACAGATGACCTTATAGTCTATAGAAGGCTTAACTGACTTTTGAGAAAATGTTCTGATCCAAAGAAGAGACCAAATAAAGCATCACTTACCTTACATATGATTTTATATTTAGGTATAACTGTTTCACAGATGTGTGTGTGTGTGTGTGTGTGTGTGTGTATGTGTATTTAATTTCTGTGTATTTGGGACTTACTATACTGTCTGTGATCCAAAAGATATTCAACAAATATTGCTTAAGGGCTAAACACATGACAATTTACAAATAACTATACTGTTTTTATTCATGGTATGGTAAACGAGGATTAAAATAGGGAAATGTGTTGTTTTAATCTCATTAACTCTATAATCACACCGATTCTCTTTTCCCATTGACTCTTTGATGATAAGATAGCTAACTGGTACAAATTAAACAAAACTTGATCTAGGCTGAACATCTTTAGCCTGAAAATCTGAGTGCTCCAATATTGGTAACTTGACTGCTGACATTACACAAATGACCACATGTAATGGGTTACAGCCAAAACTCAGGAATATTAAAATATACGGCATAACATTACATCCAGGAATGAGTACATTTATATATAAAGCATAAATGGGCTTTACATTAAGATTTGGGTTCTATCACTAAGATATTTAATTATGAATCTGAAAATATTCTAAAATCTCCTCAAGAATATGAACTCTAAAACAATTCTGGCCCCAAACATTTTGGATGAGAGATCCCAACCCATACATAAACAGTAGAAGATGCTTACTTTATATTTGGAAATTGCAACAGAGTTCAGTTCCTGTGAACCCAATGTGGACCTACATTTACTTCTAAGGTTTTAGGTTAGAAGAATACTAAGTAGGAAACATGCATATTATCCTCTTTCAAAGCCTCAGAGATGTTTACTCAAATCAAATATTTATTGAACACTTACTGTGTTTGTACCAGATCATAAATTAGATACCCAGAATGTGTCCTTTAATTGTGAACAAAATAATATTATCCTGGTTGTCAAGTAACATCTAAATGCTTAGAAGTTTTCTTTTTTAAAATATACATATCAAGAGTTTTAGAAAAGTATTCATCTCTGTTTTTGCCAAGTATCTCTATCATTTGTGAAAATCTTAGAAGTAAGTATATCATGAGTTTCCTTTAATATGGAAATTATTAGTAAGTGCTTAACTAATAAAGCAATCCATTCATGCTGCATGAACTACATAAAAGTTAGATATTCATACTATCAGAATGAACTGACTGATAACAATTTCATGTAAAGTATTCTTATGTAGGCCATCTGACACAGGCCTCTTTAAGTCATATTTAATGTAGCCTAACAAAATTATAATTTAACAATTAATTGAAACTATGCTTAAACACACTGTCTTAGTATTTTTTTATTTACCTTTTCTTTAAAGTAGAATTTGCCATGATTAAGGCAAATGCATAAGTTAGAAACACAGTGTTATGTAAAATGAAGCCCCAAGAAATTGGAAGATAGGGGAAATTAAAACAACATT